AGAATTTGTGGGGCTAGGGAGATAGCTGGGCACTAAAACCAGGTGAGGTGGAGTACACCTGTAATCCCAGTGCCGGGGAGGCTGAGACAGGAGGATCACTATGAGTCTAAGCTGCATAGTAAGATCCTGTACCAAAGAAAGAAATAAAAGATTTAAAAAAGAAAGAAAATAGCATTTGTTCAAAGTGATGAACCTACAAAATGAAAATTGTAGTTATAAATCCTGTTCTTATTCTGTAGATGTTTTTTACTGTCCTTTAACTCCTAGGGGTATGGGCATTGAAGAAGCTGGGTTGGAGCCAGTACAGGTGGTTCGTTTTGTCATGCCCGTTGGCTCTTCCTCCCTTGCAATGCTGGTCTTAGTTGCTAGCTGTAGATGGAAGGTGAATGTCTAAGGTGATAGCCTCATTGATCCTTTTAAGTAATTTTTTTTTGTGTGTATGTGGTTGTGTTAGACTTTTAAGAACTCTGTTACCTATAAGAAGAAATAGAATCAGTTTTTATTTTCTGAAGTATGTTAGTATGAAACACCTATAAATTTTAATTTGAAAACATTTTAAGTTCCAGAAAGTTGGAATATATTGTTTTAAATGCCCTTCATTTATTTGATATATGTTAATATCCTATATAATCATAATACATTTATCAGAAATAATACATAAGAACACTCCATCAGTAATGTCAACTAATCTTCAGAGCTTATTTAAATTTTATTTCTCTCTCTCTCTCTCTCTCTCTCTCTCTCTCTCTCTCTCTCTCTCTCTCTCTCTCTCTCTCTCTCTCTCTTTTGCTGGTGCAGCCTGCCCTGAGGGCAGGACTAGCACAGCGTGTATGTGGTGTTGGGGATTGAACTACAGTCCTCTGCACCTGCGTAAGCTTGCCTAAGCAGGTGCTTTAGACCACTGAGCTATCTCACAGGCCCGAATTTTATCTCTTTTACTAATACAATATTTTTCTAACCCTAGATACATTAAGGATCCCATGCTATGAAGTTCTCATTGTCTCCAGTTTCTAAGACATCAGCAGCCTTTCTGTTAGTTTCAACTACTTTCTATTCGGAGTGTCTAATCTTGTGGAATGTCCTTCATTTTGGGTTTGTCTGATGCCTCATGATTAAACTGAAGCAGCATGTTTTGTCAGACGTGGCCCCGACAGGACTAGCATTCTAGCCTGCTCGCTGCGCCTCGTCAGGTGGCACGGCTGCTGACACAGCTTATCTCTGCTGGTCTCTCCACTGCGAAGATAGTGTCTTCCCTTTTTAGTTGAAACATAGCTTATGAGGAGTCGTTTTGGAATGCGAGCATAACCTGTTTCTCTTCCATTCCCGTGCATGACCGTTAGCATCTTATCTATGAATTACTACTATGGAAGTGGCCGAGCTAACGCTATTTCCATTATCACAGCTATCTTCATTATTTGGAACGCTGCTGTAGGGAACACTTGTTCATGTTTTACCATTTATGAAACCATGGATATTAGTTTATTCTTTGGGTTCTGATTCAATGCTAGCATTGCCTTTTTTTTTTTTTTTTTTTTTTTTTTTTTAAAGACAGTGTCTCACTGTGTAGCCCAGGCTGGCTTAGGACTTGCAGTGATCCTCCTGCCTCAGCCTTCTGAGTGCTGGTGTGATAGGCATACACCACCACACCTGGTACTACTTATTTGTTTAAAGGTTACTGAAATTTTGCTTCTGGGATACAGATACAAAACCAACAGATACCCCATTGGGTTGGTATCTGTTTCCCTTCTGTGTGTCTTCATCACTTTCAAATACCTCATCACTCTCACTGTCACCTATCATTCCAGTTTATCCTGGGTTTTCCCTGTTTCCAGCCCTAACACCAGTCACTTTCCGAAAGAGCCTGGTATGTTCATTGGAAGAGTATTAGGAACTAGTATATGAGCACTGTAACTCTATGACCTTTCAGTGAACACAGCCAGAAAGTACAAGATGGAATCAAAATATCTGGTAAATGTTTGAATTTTAAAAATGTATCACAGCCAGGAAGATAGCTCAGTGGCATAAGCGCCTGCCTGACAGGGGCAAGGTGCTGAGTTCAAGTCCTGGTACAAAAAAAAAAAAAAATGTATCACAGGTGCATGCCTGTAATCCCAGTGTTGGGGAAGCTGAGATAGGAGGATCACTGAGTCCGAGTTGCATGGTGAGACCCTGTACCCAATAAATAAATAGATTAAAAAAAAATATTACAGGGTTGGGGAGATAGCTCAGTGGCAAAAGCAACTGCCTGGCAAGTACAAGGTCCTGAGTTCAATCCCCAGTACCACAAAGTAAGTAAGTAAGTAAGTAAGTAAGTAAATAAATAAATAAATAAATAAATGTAAAAGTGTATTACAGTGAATAACACATTTCCATTGATCTCCCTCAGAATACTCCTCCACGCCTCCTTTGCTTGTAACACTTACCCCACCATTGTTGCCAGTGGCAGTCCTCTTGCTTGAGTGTCTTTAGAAGATGTGATAAAAGTATGTGTGGAAGGGCAGGCTCATAAAACATTATGGTGTGTGCACACCCACCTTATTCACTGGATTTGGCACCATGTGACATTGGGCTCTTCCTCAAAGTCAAGATGATCGTGAAGGATAAACATTTTGAATTGATTCAGGACACTGAGGCAGCCGTGGTACCAGAACTAAAGACACTCAGGACGGAGTTCCAGAGCTGCTTCAGAAGGTGGCAAGAACGATGGTATTAAGTGTATTTGAAGTGAGGTAGTTCATTTTAAGGGGATTAATGGCAATGATTCTCTTACCACAATAAATTTTATTTTAAACATGGATCATATTTTTTCATGTTTATGTACTCATATGCATCAACATTCATCTATATCCTTCTGTAAGCCTGTTGCCATGCACTGCATTATGACATTTTTGTCAACATTGAGCTGCATATATAATGCTGGTTCCAGAATGGAGCTGAAATTTTCCTTCTGCCTAGTGACATCAGAGTGTAACACATTACTCATGTCATTCTGGTGATGCTGATGGAAAGCAGCCCATCGGGCTGCTAGGCGTAAGAATGGGTAGCACCCACAGTTATGTCTAGTGTGCAGCACTGGGCACTGATGATAAGAGGCTGTCGAACTTCTTATGTGCTTACTTTTAATTATTATGTTTGAATGTACTACGGATAAAACCATTTGTGGTGAAATGGTATGCCATGTTGCTCAGCAGTTCCTGCCCACTTTGGACATGTACAGTGACTCTTGCATACGCCACACCCAGAGGAGGATGTGGTGGCCTTGGCTTGTGTGTGCAAGTCTCGGATGTTCACACTGTGGCCGAGGCAGCCCGGGATGCATTTCCAGAACTTATCATTAGGTGGCACCTGATTATATCTACCTATGAGAACCCTGCGTTCCTAGCGATGGCTCCGATCCCAACCTACCAATGCAGAATTAGCTTTTCTTTATTCATGACTTCCAAATAATGGATTTCATTATCCAGAATATCTTCATTTCTTATTTATTCCTGCTATGTGTGTTTGTGCATCTGTGTGCCTGTGTGTGTATATTTGTAGTAGAGTGAGAATTGCTATGTACTTCGGAAAAGCAAATTTGCTAAGTAGCACACAGTATTTGGGTGGCAGTTCCTTTTGTCTTCACGTTTACATGAAAACGCTGCTTTCAAAGGTAGGCTAGCTGTTCTTTTCCTCACCCTGCTCAGTGTGGCCGCATTATTTATTTGTAGCATAGTTAGGTTTATTGGTTTGTGTGCCATTTTGGTCTACCCTTTCCTAAGGCCACAGTGTACCTTCCATCCTGTTTGCTTTCAGGGATCTGAATCATTGCTATAATTTTAGCTGCATAGAAAGATGCACTCAGAAAGATGTCATTTCCCATTATTCCCCATCCTTTCCCATTCTCTCTTTCAAAACTGTTCCTGTTTATTCTCTATGAGCAAGTCATTTTAGTAGTTGTCTTTTATTTTTTTTTTTAATTTTTTATTTGTTTGAGAGAGAGAGAGAGAGAGAGAGAGAGAGAGAGAGAGAGAGAG